GACCAGCACAGTGGCTAAACCTAACGTCCCTTCCAGAGATCGAATAATTTGGGAATAAACGAAGAGAAAGAGGATAAAGGAATGAATAAATTGGTTACGAACTGGGATTAATTCATTATATTAACACCTTGAAACAGGCTCAGATAAAAAGATGACACTGTCTCTCACCGGGCGTGGTGGCTCACATCTGTAATCACAGCACTTTGGGAGGCCGAGGCAGGCGGATCACAAGGTCAGTAGTTCAAGACCAGCCTAACCAATATGGTGAAACCCCATCTCTACTAAAAAAGACACAAATTAGCTGGGCATGGTGGCGTGTGCCTGTAATCCCAGCTACTTCGGAGGCTGAAGCAGAATTGCTTGAACCCAGGAGGTGGAGGTTGCTGAGTGCACCAGTTCACTCCAGGCTGGCGATAGAGCGAGACTCCATCTCAAAAAAAAAAAAGATGACACTGTCTCTAAGCTCAGGTATACTAGATGCCTGAAAGGGCAAAGCTACATGTTTGCCAAGACCATTTCTGCTTTTGGAAACCAAAAAGATCAATGAACCTGCAAACCTGAGCGGCCTCTCCCTGGAAGACATGCTCATAGAATACGATGATGGACTGACTGAATTACGGAGTGAATGAATTACGGACTGAATGGGATTCTGGTGTTGTGCCAGTATTTTTTGAGTTCCACATCCTTTTGCTGAAAGGAATCCAAGTTTGAAGACCGAGGCTGGACTGTTGATATTGTGAAATATATATTTGGTCTAATCTGTTTCCCGGCATACCACTCCTAAAATCCTTGGAATCTCCAATATGCAAAGTGTATGCTAATGAGTTGACTGGTGGTTGGCAGCACCTAGGCAGCTTCAGGATGGGATTTGGTCACTAGAAAGACCAAGGCAGGGTTAGAGTTGTGGCTTTTAGCTCCACCCCTCAAATTCTAGAGAGGGAAGAGGGTCTAAAGGTTAAGCCAATCACTAATGGCCAATGATTTAATCAATTATGCCTGTGTACTAATGCCTCCATAAGACCCCAAAAGTACTGGGTTCAGGGAGCCTCTGGAGAGCTGAACATGTGGAGGTTCCCAGAGGGTGGGGCGCACAGAGGGTGTGGAAATCGCATGCCCTTCCCACATGTCTTGCCCTTCATCTGTATCCTTTATAATAAACTGGTAAACATGTTCCCCCAAGTTCTATAAGATGCTCTAGCAAATTAATCAAATCCAAGGAGGAGTTCATGGGAACCCCAGTTTACAGATGGTTGGTCAGAAGCACAAGTAAAACCTGGGGCTTGAGATTGGCATCAGAAATGGGAGGCAGTCTTATGGGACTAAGCCTTCAACCTGTGGGATCTGATGCTATCTCCAGGTAGATATTGTCAGAATTGAACTGAATCAGAAGACACTAGAGGGTGTCTACTGCTGGAGGATTGCTTGCTTGGTGTGTGGGAAAAACCCACACATCTGTTGTCAGAGGCACTGGGTGACTGTGCAGTGTGAGTATTGCAGGAAGAAACTGAGTTTGTTATTCTTAAACTCTAAAAGTTTTCAAAGTTACATCATTTGATTTTTTTGTACAGATGGGGTTACATCATTTGATGTGACCTAGTAGAAATACTTAGAAGAAAATAAATTTTTCTTTTTTTTTTGAGACGGAGTTTCGCTCTTGTTACCCAGGCTGGAGTGCAATGGCGCGGTCTCGGCTCACCGCAACCTCCACCTCCTGGGTTCAGACAATTCTCCTACCTCAGCCTCCTGAGTAGCTGGGATTACAGGCACGCGCCACCATGCCCAGCTAATTTTTTGTATTTTTAGTAGAGACGGGGTTTCACCATGTTGACCAGGATGGTCTCGATCTGTTGACCTCGTGATCCACCCGCCTTGGCCACCCAAAGTGCTGGGATTACAGGCTTAAGCCACCGCGCCCGGCCGAAGAAAATAAATTTTAAGACCTGATATTCTATTTGAATTTGATACCCTAAATAATCCAGTCTATAAAGTCAGAGTTACATTCTAAGACACTTAGCAGAAATGCCAGTCTTATTTCTAATCAGGAGCAGAATTTTGTAAATGAGAATGCTATTATATAACTGGGGCCATGCTACATCTAACTTTCTTTAAAAATCTAAAATGAATAAGTTGTTTTTTAAATTTTTTTTTTTTTTTGAGACAGTCTCACTCTGTCACCCAGGCTGGAGCACAGAGGCACAATCTTGGCTCACTGCAACCTCTGCCTCCTGGGTTCAAGCCGTCCTCCTACCTCAGCCTCCTGAGAAGCTGGGACTATAGGCAGGCACCACCATACTCCGTTAATTTTTTGTACAGATAGGGTTTCACCATGTGGTCCAGGCTTGTCTTGAACTCCTAAGCTCAAGTGATCTGCCTGCATTGGCCTCCCAAAGTGCTGGGATTACAGGTGTGAGACACCACGCCTGGTCAACAAGTTATTTCATGGCTCACCTTGTGCATTATGCACATGCTTTCATAAATCTCTAACAAAATTACTTTTTCATCTTCTAGTAACTTAGCTTTGAATTATAGTAGAAATAAAACTCATGCTCAGTGGACTGCCTACAGAGAGTAAAATACTTGTAACTTACCTGGGACTACTTGGGTTATGTAATTCATCAGTCCCACAGGTGGCCTCACTGAGACTGGGGCAGGAGTTAGGCACAGCATAGACAGACATGCTGGGATGTTCAATGAGAAGGTTTTCCATAGGACTCGTTTCCACCTTGATAGTGGTTAATCCACCTGCAGTAAAACATGGGGGTGGGGTGATAAACCAGCTCTCCTCCATTGGACATGACTCAAACTGGAGGAAGCAGGAATCACTTGTATCAGCCAAGCACTCAAGAGACGCTGGTAAACAGGAAAAGACTGAAGGGTGCTCAGCAGGTGACTCTTCATTGATGTCCTCCTCTTCCTCTTCTTCCTCTTCTGCTGAGAAACCAGTGCAAGTATCTAGATAGTAGTCCATGTTGCAGTCCATGTGTGTTGTTGAAGAATCCCACAGGAGGATGATTATCACATTGGGCAGTCATTATAAAGTCACCCATAAGATTCACAGCACAGAAAAAGAAGAGATGATACTATTAGCTGATGCTCACATTATCTTCTTTTAGCTCAGAAACAAACCCCTTTATATTCATTTATATGATTATAAAATTACTTTTGAGCACAGAAATTGTGTGTGTGTATCACTATATGGGATGGATTATGTTAGCTTTGCAGGAGTGATTTTAAGACTGTTTCTATTCTGCTGAATAAATAAGTAATGAGCCATATGGGTTACTACTTGTCTAATATAAGGGTTTTCTATTGAAGTGCCCTTGATCTAATAAATCTATACGAGTTGCAAAACTAAAAAGTCTGATTGATTTCAGTCAATTTCACTGACATCTAGCACAGGTGGTTTCCTGCAATTTTTTAAAGACAAACTCCTGTTTACTTTTAAGGCTTAAAAACCCTCAGTTACTGGTTTTCTTAAGCAAAAACAGAGATGCAAGTTTCCACTTTTACTGTGAAGATGAACCAACAAGTATCCAAGTATACATTACCTATGAAGTCAACAAGAATCCATTCATCATCTTCTTTCTCACTGAATTCTGGTTCTTGGTTGGAGGAAGAACTGACTTCACCCACAAACATTTTATTCAGCCTCTGGAACATTGTTAAGGCAAGACTGAGAGTTTGGCTGGATGTCTTTTACAGCTGAGATTTCAAAACCTTGTCTTCAGTTGGCCTGACGGTACCAACAGGAGATTAAAGTGCACAGGATGCTTATTCAATTTAGATGAAAATCAAGAAAAGTCATTATCCCTAAAACAGAAAGTTATTTCAAATCAGCTTACACACATGTACATAAGCACATACACATATACACATACCCCTAGAAGAAAGCATATGCCTTGGCCTACATTCTACAGCTATTATTCCCTTTCTGCAGGAGTCAAACACAAGACATGCAACATAATGTTTTGTAAATACTCTTTATTTACTCAAATTCAACCTATAAATACCTTAAAATGTGAAATAAAAGGAAAGGAGTTGGTTCTTTTTCATATCTATGCTTTTATAATAAGGGATGAATTTGAGTAATACTCTTCAAACTTTTCTGCAAGCAGATGAGCAAATTCTAGAATATTAACAGTCTTGCTATGTGACTGCCCAGAAGTCCCAGCAACAGTGCCTGGTGGCCACCATTATGCCAGGCCCTCACCCTCCTCTGGCTCATTTTCTCTTCCACTCTGTACTTCTTGTCTATAACTGAAGCATACCTAAAACACTTAAAATCTATAAGGCCAGCAAGCATACTTTGAACTTCTAAACTATTTCTACAGCTGGCATGGAGAAATTTACACTGTAGAAAACTGAGCTTGGCTGCACCTAGCACGGGAAATACCCTTTCTGAGTAGCAGCTCAGCAGGTGGGTGCTGGGGTCAGCCACTTGCGTTCAAACCTTGGCTGGCTGCTCACTCGCTGTGTGAGTTAGAAAGTTATATGACTACAGTTGGCAACAGCTCCTACCTTAGGGAATACTGGTGTACTGAGATACATATGCCCATCAGGTAGCGAGGTAGAAATGGATAAATAAATCTAGACCTCCTGCCTGCTTCCCTCTACCATTCTTATCCTAGATTAAACCAAATTGTTGTCTCTCTGGGACACTGCCAAAACTACCTCCTAGACAGTCTCCCTGATCCTACTCTTGTTAAAGGCAATGGACTTAGCAAAACACTTGGAATAAAGTCATTAGTCCAGGTCAACTGTTATTCTACATGTATTTACTGAGTACTTGTTATGCATCAGGTGCAGTGCTGGGCAGAAGGCTATGAACAAGGCCCTCCCACACACAGTTTAACAACCTAGTGTGTGATGAATGTCATGGAAGAAGTACTTGGTGTTCTCTAGGCTACCTGAGCAGACTCCTGCCATAAATGCCTTTACTCTTGAGTGACTGAGATCAGGAATGGAGGAAGGAGGCAAAGGAACACTATGGAAGTCTGCGCATGAGTGAGAATGTGACACCTTCTGTCCTGCTCAAGGTCCAGAGCGAGGGTGACAAGAGCAGACTGGGGGAGCTGACCAGGAACCAGGTCCTGCAGGGCCTAGTAAGCCAGAGAAAGGGGGAGGGAAAAGTCAAAGACCTAGGTTTCTGGCTTGGCCAAAAGAGGGGATGGTGGGACCATTTAGGGAAATAGGAATGAATATTGCAGGAAGTATGGGGTAGGCATTTCAAACATGGTAAATTTGGAGAATATGCAAAACAGTGCAATTGGAGATGTCTAGCATGCAGCAGGATATAGAGCTTTGAAGCTCAGGAGTGTGGTCTCAGCTAGGGGCACAGATTTGGGAGCTGTCAACATAAAGACGATGATAAACAGCATTGGAATGGATGAGGTGGGTATGGAAGCTCATGTCTGCAATCCTAGCATTTTGGGAGGCCGAGGCCAGAGGACTGCTTGAGCCTAGGAGTTGGAGACTAGTCTGGCAACAAAGTGAGAAACTGTTTCTACAAAAAAATTTTAAAAATTACTCAAATGCAGTGGTATGCACCTATAGTCCTAGCTACTTGGGAGGCTAAGCTGGGAGGATCCCCTGAGCCTAGGAGTTGGAGGCTGCAGTAAGCTATGATTGTGCCACTGTACCCCAATGTGAGTGACACAGCGAGATCTTGTCTCAAAAAAAAATTTATATATATGGATAAGATCACCCAGGGCTGAAGAAATGCACCTCACTAATCACCACCTCTTTTTATCACAAGCATCAGCTTTAAATTTACAACTTCAGGCTCCTGACAGTTCACTTTCAAAATATCTTTAGCTGTAAAAGTCACTGGGATCTGTAGCTAATGAGATTACTGGTTTAGTTCCTTGTGTATAAACTGGACTGCTACAGTTGTTTGGCAACCTACCATACAAGTAAAACATTTGAAATAAATGACATTAGAATACTTTGTGGTCACAATTCATCTTCTTCAGCCATTAATTATTAAAAATGGGTAAACAGGAAGTATCACTTGCATAACCAGTCTTCCTGAAACCTTCTGGAAAGCAACATGGCCAAATCATGAAGGCTAGAGCTACAGAAGAATTCAAAGTCAGCTTTATGCTCTTTGTAAGAGAAACAAGAAGAAAAGTGGGTTCTGTAGTTTTCTAGACCTGCTATGGTATGATAGCTATATCCCAAGATGAGTTATATATAAGGTCTAATGTAAATAAAGATTTTTTGAGGATACATGCTAGGAGGGAAAAATAAATTTTCAAAATCCTTCCTTCATTTATTTTAAATCATGGAGGCAGACATTGGCCCCACATACAATTCTGTGTTTGCTGAACCAGTGGAGAGAGTAAGCCCAATTCTCCAGAGCATGGTGCTGGACTCTAGCCCTGAATCAGCTATAGCCACTGGGAGGGGAGAACCACACAGGGGAACGTTTGCTTGCCCTGAGCAAATGCCTTGTCCCCCAGCTCAGATAACTGGCAGCTCTGAGGCCGAAAATGCATGGCAAATCTGCTGAGGCCATGTGGGAAGAACACAGAATGGAGTTCCTGGGTAGGGTGGAAGGGGCCTGGCCATCTGTAGCAGCAGTTCTGACTGGGGCTCTACTACAGGGTGGCTGGAGCTAAACTGGCCCTTCTGAGCTTCCTTCTCACTGTTGGGAAAATGGGGAGACTGTGCTGAATCACCTCATCACTCTCTTTCCCCCCAAACTTCTAGCACAAAAAAGTGAGGCTGCTTTAACTAGTAGAGCCAAGTTCCTTTGGCGCCGCTTTCCACCAAGTGTCACAAAGGGCAAGGAGCTATTGGAGAGACCCTCCCTCCATTGCTAAAACTGTCCATTGAGGTAGCCACCAGGCATATTATGCAAATGAACACTTGACATGTGACTAGTATGATCGAGAAACTGCATTTTTCATTTTACTATTTAATCCATTTACGAAGTTTAATCCAGTTAAACTTAAAAGCTGATAATTTAGTTTTTTTTTTTTAACTTTCAAGTATGTTTGGAATAGTTAGGGTATGTTAATCCACTTATTCACCTTTATATTTTATGATGTCTAAATATAGATCAAGTACATCATTGAAAACTTTGTATCTGAATTGAGATGTGCTGAATGTGTAAAAAAACACACTAGAGTGCATTTCAAAGACTTAGTAGCCCCAAAATGCAAAAGTGTTTATACTGATTGCAAGTTGAAAAAATAATTTTAGTATATTAAATAAATAAAAATAAACTTTTTCCTTTTTAAATATGGCTACTAGAAAATTCAAACATACATGTGGCTCACATTATTTATTTCTGTTGAACAGGGCTGTTCTAGAAAAATCTCCCTAAAATCTTAACGGCCTACCCTCCTACTGATGACCCAGAGACTGTCCCTGCCCAGTCACTGCTACTGTTGACCTTGGCTCCTGCCCAGGGATGGAGGCTCTTGATGGGGCTGGTTCTATGTGGAGGTAAATAAAAAAGCAAAGCTTTAGACTCCTCTCATCCCCAGATCACTAACATTTACAACACTAGGGCAATGATATAATGAAAATTAAAATGCCAGAGAAAGCATGTGTCCTAAGAGGACAAATTTACAAATACAGTTCTGGAATTCAGCAAAGAGGTGAAGCAAAGGTTAGGTGGAATAGCACTGTTGTTCTTTGAGGCACCTGCAAGCTTTCAGCTTTAATCAGCCTCAGCCCAGCAGTTTCCCCAAAAGAGAAAAGAAACCCCCAATAGAGAAAAGAAACAGTGTCTCGGCCCTAGCATTTCAAGAAGGCAGTTTGCCCTTATTCTGCTTGGCTCAAAAGACCTCTATTCCTTCCTTTAAAAAATAAATAATGTCTTTTTAATTATGAAATGAACAAAACCATATTATACAAAGTTTAGAAAATAAGAAAAATAAGTATTATTCCATTGCCTTGTTCCCATCACTTAATATATTGGTGAATTTTTTCTGTTTTTTATTCTACACATAGTGTTTCTTTTTATCATAGTTGTAGCCTTGTGAATGCACTGTTTTGTATCTCATATCTCACTGTTACTTAACATTTTGTCATCAATGTTTTTCTTATTATTACACGTGCAGAGATGCTTTGTAGGCAGAGAGAGGTGGCTGACTGAGTCTAATATACATGGGGAAGAGCATTCTAGTTTGACTACTTAGAAAAGGAATTGTTAATTTGGAAGATCTTGTTAGCATTATTTATTTTCTCACTTTTAAGATAGGTAGCCCACCAAAAGGCAGTATGTTGTGGTATCTAAATAAAGCCTGGCTCTGAGGCTGGGCACAGTGGCACATGTCTATAATCCCAGTGCTTTGGGAGGCCAAGGCTGGAGGATCACTTTAAGCCAAGAGTTCAAAACCAGCCTGGGCAACAAAGAAAGACCCCACCTCTACAAAAAATAAATTAGCTGGGTGTGGTGGTGTGCACATGTAGTTCCAGCTACTCGGTAGGCTGAGGTAGGAAGATCGATTGAGCCCATGAGTTTGAAGCTGCAGTGAGCTGTGATCCCACCACTACACTCCAGCCTGGTTGACAGAGTAAGACTCGGTCTTCCCTCCCCCCACCAAAAAAAGACATACCCTGGAGTTAGCCTGCTCCATTTGAAATCTTGGCTCTGCTACTTGCAACCTGTGTGAATTCAGGATATTTACTAACATCTTGGGGTCTCTGTTTTCTTATCTTTAACATGGGAATGACACTTATAATACTTCTCAGCACATGTGTAAGGATTAAGTGTATACTAATTAGAATAGCAAACTTGAGTAAATATTAACTACAAGCTTATTCAAAGCCAGTTGTGAGACTGTGAACAAGTCATTTAGCATCACAACATTTGAGTTTATCCATGAAATGTCTACTTAATAATTAGAGCTACAGTTTACAGAATGTTTGTTCTATGTAACGGGGCCTTATTTGTCCCATTTTACTGATGAGGGAAACCAAGGCTCAGAAATTAAGTAACTTGTTCAAAAGTGACAGAGATGGTTGGGGTGGAGTCAGCATTAGGACAAAAATCCATCTGATTCCAATTCCTTGTTTTCCCTACACAAAGTCTTTTAGGCTCCCAGCCTCAACCTTGTGTCTCTGAACTTCAGAAAACAGCCCTTTTCAGTTAGTTCAGGCTGCCAGTAGGCGGCTCCAAAAAACATTAAAAAAAAAAAAGCCTGCAACTTTGATGATCTAACTTCTAAATTTGTGTACAGTTGTGGCTCATTCACAGTTTCAGGAAATCGGGTGGCTAAACGTACCGTCATTGAAAAGCAGCCTCAGAATTGTCCTCTTTTTATCCCACCCTCTTCCATTACTTAAAAAAAAAAAAAAAAAAAAGCAGATTCTAGTAATTTAAAACGGATTTTGAACTGCCGAAAAAACCAAGCCAAGAAAGCTGTCTTTGCTTGTTCCATTTATATGAAGATTGTTCAACTAGTATGCAAGGGAGGCAATTCCCCCAGGGACCCACCCCTGCCTGCCCTGAAGGCTGAAAGAGTGGACAAAGACAAGAGTAAGTGGTAATTCACAGTCTGATAATCTTGAATTTTGAAAGCAGGGCCATTCCCAAGAGACATAGCAGGAAGCAGCGGCAGAAAAGAACAAAAGATATTATGAGAAAACGAGACCGTGGTCACAGAAATTAGTAAGGTCCTGGTTCCAGGCAGGAGCCTTGTAAAATTATGCTGCCAGTTCATTATTATATTGATTGCGACTTAAAAGCTTCCCAGTGCTTTCCACATCTGCAAATGAAAATGTATTTCAATTACCACGCTGGTGATTTCAGTATCTTGAGGGAACTCCTTATGACCTCTGTTCAATGACCTCAAGGGTCACAGTTTTCCCCCTTTTCCCAAAACTATTGTGCATTGAGAAAAGGTTCTTTTAGCCAGGGGATGGATGCCCCAGTCCTTGGGAGTCACAGATGTAAAGAAGCTCTTCCTTAATCCACTCCGAATTGGAATTAACTACTTAACAGATATGATCAGGAAGTACAAGCAAAACAAAGACTCTCCCGGTAAAATTCGGCTGCCACTTTAAAATACAAACATCATTTCCTTTTAATAGGCTGTGTGGCTTTGAGCAACTTACTTAATCTTTCTGTGCCACGGGTTTCGTACGGGTAAGATAACCGGGCCTATTTCACAGGGTTATGAGAATCAACTGGGGCAATAAAGCAAAGTCCCCAGCATAGTATATGGCACATACGCAGCAAGCGTGAGCGATCCAAAGGATCTCAATGTTAACAGGCAAAGAAAGCGCTCTTTCCACAGGTGCAACGCCAGGTAGCGAAGAGTAAGATCAAGCTGCGTCAAGGGACAGGCCGCGGATAGACGGGGGCCGGTGGCCGGGTCACCGAGCGGGTTCCCCGTAGCCGCAGGGCCTCCGGAGCTGGAAGGCAGGTGCGGGGGACGGGATAGCAGGGCCACAACCCCAAGTGCCGCTGTCTCGGGAGATGCGTCCCGACTGTGGCAGCCGGAGCCCCGATGCCGAGTCCGGAGCTGGTGGCCCATCCAACGGCTGAGCGCCGGCGGAGGAGGAGGAGTGGAGCAGAGTGGGGAGGAGGAGTTAGAGGAGGTCCCGCCGCGGCCAAGGAAAGGAGGCAGAGACCAAACACTCAACCGCCGCCCAGCGCCGGAGCCCGGCCGGGCCCTTGTCAGGGTCGCTGCCGCCTCCGTCCGCGCCTTGGGCCCCGGGGGCCGCCGCCGACCGACCGACGGGGTGGGCAGCCGGGCCCGGCGGCCGCGAGGGGAGGCAGCGAGGGGCTCGGAGAACGCGCAACCGGCGCCCCGAGGGCAGCGCTCCCGGCCGGTCCCTTCGGGCTCTGGAGCGGGCAGCGCCGCCGCCCCAGTCGGCAGCGAGACGGCCCCAGACGCCCGCCCGCCCCCCGGCACTTACTGGGCCCGGGCCGCGCGGGGCTGCGTGGGGAAGGAGGCGGCCGCCGGCTCGGCGGGAAGTATGCGGGCGGCCCGGGGCTGCTGAGGTAGCTGCGGCGGGACCGGGCTGCGCTGCGTCTCCCTCAGGTCCCCGGACGGCGGGCGCGGAGCCGGATCCAGCCCTCGGGTCGCTGCGCCCAGGCCGGCCAGTCCAGGTCCTTTTGTTGTTGTGCAGCTCGCAACAGCTGATCGGCCGCTCCGCCCGCCGTCGGGCCCCGCCGTCCCGCCCCGAGCCGTGCCGCGCCAGGCCGGGCCCCACCAATCGGCGGCGCGGGGGCCCCGGGGCCGCCCTGCGAGAGGTTGTCACCAACGCACGTGACCTGGCGCCCGGCCCGCGACGAGCTCCGCTCCGAAACAAGCCCGGGCAACAAAACCCGGGAGCCCAGAGCGGAGGCCGGGGCGAGCGGAAGGGTGGGAGAGAGGGGCTAGGCGGGGGAGGGGAGCGCCGGGGCCGGGGCCGGTTTCCCGGCAGCGGGCGGCAGCGGGGCGCGGAGGAGGTTCTGCCCCGCGACGGAAGTGCAGAGGGGGACCTCTCCCTCAGCGACCCCTCTGACCGAGTGAGAGGTCCGTTTGGGGCACGAAGGACGCGGAACGTTTTTTCCTGTGAGAGGAACGTTAAGGACCCTGGGAGGGCTGGAGCTAACGCCTGCGAGAGCCCCACCTGGCCAGCCTGTGGGTAGACGGGTAGCCCGGGTGCCAGAGGTGGGGGAGCGCGCCGCTGCTGAGCCCAGATAGAGGAGCGGAGACCACTCAGTCACCGAGCCGGGCCCCACCTGCTGTAGAAACCGCCACTGAGAGCCGGTTGGGCCTGCTGCAGGTTCTGGACTCCGCCTGCCTATGGGCGAGGCAGAAGGGACTGCGAGACCAGGCCTGAAGGCAGAGAGGTCAGCCGGCTTGGGGGCCTCTGCTCCAGCGGACAACACAAGCACCCTGTGGGAGCGGTCATCTCCCCAGGCAGGTGCTGCAGCCCTGCTCTCATAGTAACCCAGGGAACTTAGCGCTCTGTTCTGTTTGCATACCTGCAAAGAAAGTGTGGGCATTCATGCCTGGCCTGCCAACTCGCCAGGTTATTTATAGTGACAAGAGAGTGAGGCAGTGGACTTGAAAGTGTTTTCCAAACCAAGGCTCTGTCCACATATAGGTGGATTAACTGGCAAAGGCAGGTGAGTCACGTTGATGCCTGTCCGCTCTCATGTGGATCCTGTTTGGACTGCGATGTAGTTCACTGAGCCGGGGTGAACTGTACAGCAAGCCTAGAGGGAAGCCTATCATACATTACAGTATCTGAAAGACACTCACATTCTGACCCTCACAGGAATCCTGTAGTCAGTCCATTTCCAACAATGCTGGTTTTAAAGGATGTAAATTGCAGTGCAGGGAATTCTCAGACACCAAGGAGTAATGATCAAAATATGGTGGTCAGTGGAACTTATCTTGGGAGAAAGAACTAAAATTGTGATCTAGATAGTCTCACAGAATTGAACATGCTTTGGATTTTAGGTTTTTGCAAATGAGGCTCATTCTAATATTTTCTCCCAAATGCTATGGTAGGAGCCCCATGATCTCTTGTTTCTCTCTAGGAATCCATCTAAGACGCTATCTCCACTTCAGAACCAAAGTATGACGACAATTACAAGAAGCTAATTTTTAAAAACTAAAAAAGGCCTACCTTTTTCTAGTTTGATAAGGTTTAGCATGGTTAAAGCAACATGTGAAATCATATGATCTTGTTATGATAGAAAAAAAACCAATATGAAGTAGATCATTTTTCCAAAGATGACCACAACAGTATCCCCTTCATCATGAAGGTCTATTTTTTCTTCCCTTTGAATCTGGGCTGGCCCTGTGATTGCTCTGACCAACAGAATGTGGCAGAAAGAATGTTCTGGGACTTCCAAGCCTCAGCAGTAAGCAAACCCGATAGCTTCTGCTCTGTACTTTGGAAAATGCCAGCCACCCATAAGGAGAGACCACCCTGCTGTGAGGAAGACCAAGCTACCCACAAGGAGAGGCCATGTGAAAAGACAGAGATGCCAGGCCAGCTCTAGCTTTTCAGCTCATACCAGCTGAGCTACCAGACACGAGTGAAAAAGCCCTTAGGAAGTTCCAGCTCCAGGAGACACCATATGGAACAGTTAAACCACCCCCACAGAGTCCTGCCAAAATGACAGCATTGTGAACAAATAAATGATTGTTTTAAGGCACTAAATGTTGGCGTTTAAAGCAGCAATAGATAACCAAAACACAGACCTAACAGAAATGCCCATCACAGATCAGTGTCTCTAAACTCCACCAAGTAGAGTGTTTGTGATGAAAACATCTTATCTCAGGAGTCACTTGCTTTCTGTTTACTCTGTTGCTCATTTATAATCTTCCCACCTGGTGCTTGTTTATCCCAGTGGCAAGGAAGGAGTGACGGGGCAGCATAGGCAAGTCTGTCCCTAGGAGGGAGGAGTCCTTTACCACTGACATTGTTTGGAATAATAAAAAGCAAACTGACTTTTAGTCAATTTTATTTTAAAATTCTTTGCAGACACACAAATTTACTGTGTCCTGCCTGCACCTTGGGTGGATCACTCCCATTGCCTCCCTCCCTGATATGCTACTGGTTTACATAAATGCTTGCAGTGAAACTCAGGAGTAATGTCATCTCCACAGCATAGAGCTGTCTGAACACAACCAAACTGTCAAATCACACAAATGCAAGCCAGCTTTTCATCTGTTCACTGACAAAGGCCCAGCCAGGTTCCCTGCCTGGGCAGATCCAGTGAATCCAATCATCCTTTAATTCACAGAATAATTCTTAGCGTGTTGCTATAGTACCCACTTCCAGGCTGACCCCTTGCTGTGGGGGTGACCCTTTCCCCATCTGTCAGAGTCCTCCTGTCTGTTTTCCATGGAGCTCAATACACTCCCTTATCTACCCTAACAAAAGGGATTCAACCTCAAGTTTTGTTTTGAAGGCTCACAATATAGGACCACATTCACACCAACAACCAGATACAATGCAACTAATGCCTCTGCCTCCTGCTTACAAAAGTAGATTGTGGCCATCACCCTGCCAGTTATATTGAGGCTGCTAAAGAATGTTGTTTCCCACCAACCCATAGGATGGCTGCTCCGGGCAGCCTCAGAACACAAAGCAACAAGTTCAGTCTATAATGAGGAGAATCCCAAAGTGAAGTCCACTTAGGTCATTTTCTGTCTACCCATCAACAGAATTGGCTAGGCTTCTACCATGGACACGACATGTTGCCAAGTGTCTGGGAAAGAAGAATTTTTTTAAATTGCACTTTAGACAAACAATCAGTTAGCATTCCAATGACATCCATTGTCTTAAGAGAAGGAAAGAAAGGGTCTGTCTGGGTCTCCAGAAAGCCTGGAACAGAAAGAAGCAAGCAATTCTGCGATCTCTGCTTTCTGAAATAAAAACAAAACACACATCTAACTGGGCTGCCAGTTACCATCTCAGGAAGGAGTCAAGAATTATAGCTTTTTAAGACCCTGCAACCTTTGTGACTTTTGTATGTTTGTCTGTTTGTGTAACCCTATATCCACATGGTGATTAAAACAAAATCCTTAAAATAAAAAGAATCTGTGTACTGGCTGAGGCAGCAGAAAGGAGAAAGTAGGCAGGCCCACATCATTCAGTCACCAGTGCTAGGGAGGAGTCCCCAAGAGCTGGGGTAGCCTGCTCTCGATTGTGGCTGACTGATGATTGCTCCAGGCCTAGAATAATTTCTCCAGTTTCTGGAAAGTCCTAATTTTTAAGGCTTCTTAGTTTCTGGGTGAATGTACAGATAAAAACCCAATTATTAGGTTAAAACTTAAAGCAGAGTCTGGGCACAGTAGCTCATACCTGTAATCCCAGCACTTTGGGAGGCCAAGGCAGGCAGATAACCTGAGATCAGGAGTTCAAGACCAGCCTGACCAACATGGAGAAACCCTGTCTGTACTAAAAATACAAAATTAGCCAGGCATGGTGGTGCATGGCTGTAATCCTAGCTACTCAGGAGGCTGAGGCACAAGAATCATTTGAACCCAGAAGGCAGAGGTTGCAGTGAGCTGAGATCGTGCCACTGCACTTCAGCATGGGCAACAAGGGCGAAACTCTGTCTCAAAAAAACAAAAAAAAACAACAAAAAAACTTAGAGCAGAAAGCAAGGTCATCCCTTAATGGATATGGCCTAGAGACGTGATACAGAAGTGCCCTTCGTACACCACCCCAGCTCCAAGGAGCCCTGAAGCTTGAAGAGGCTCATTGTGTAGGGCAGATATGACTCGGTCTTGGGCGGTTGTCAGAGGTTAGCTGAAGTGTGTGAGCAAAGGTCTTTTATAACTCCTGCTGCCAAAGCGACTTTTTCACTCACACTGCTACTTCTGGGCACTGCCCAACAATCCACATGTGCCAGAGGCAACCCGAGGTGGGTCTGTAACCATGAATTGCTTTGTTATGATGACAGCTTGACTAAAAGTTCCTTTCTGCCCTTTTCAAAAGGATGCAGACAATATGGTTACTACTTACATAAGCCACACTCTGCCATTTAAGGAAAACTTATTTCTTGGATTCTTTTTTTTTTTTTTTTTGGCATGAATGAACTACCTTAAATATCCATTTTATTTTGCAAGATGAATTTGCACCTTTTTTTTTTTTAAGATGGAGTCTCCTTCTAGGCTGGAGTGCAGTGGCGCCATCTCAGCTCATTGCAACTTCCACCTCTGGGGTTCAAGCTATTCTACTGCCTCAGCCTCCTGAGAAGGAGGATTACAGGCATCGGCCACCATGCCCGGCTAATTTTTTGTATTTTTAGTGGGGATGGGGTTTCATCATGTTGGCCAGGCTGGTCTCAAACTCCTGACCTCAGTAATCCACCTGCCTCAGCCTCCCAAAGTGCTGGGATTACAGGTGTGAGCCACTGCCCCCAGCTGAATTGGTGCTTTTAAATGTCCAGGTTTTTCATAGCTTTGGCAAAGCCAGGCCTATAGATTTTGATCATCTGAGGCATTTTGGTTTCTATTCTTTTGGGGCCTCTTTTCTTGCTTTACTCCTCTTTGATGGGAGTAGGCATTTATTTCTCTTTGCAGCTCAGACAGAGGTAGGGCTGAGTAGTTAGTCTCATAAAGCTTGAACATCCTCCACTCATTCAAATTAGATTGTGTCCTATGTGCCTCTTCTGTTCAGAGCCTGCATGCATTTATTCAATAATTATTTAATGAGCACTTACTCTGTGCCAGGCACCAGGGATACAGCAGTGAACAAAATAGGTGAAGTGTTAGCCCTCAAGAACCTTCCATCTAGTAAGTAAATATATAATTTAGTGGGTGCTGTGAAGAAAGATAAGCTGGGTAAAGGGTTACAGAGAAGTTGGTGGGGAAGTAATATGGTCAGGAGGGCCTCTCTGAGGAGATGGCATTTGAGCATCGAGAACAAAGGGGAATAGGGCAAGAGTAGTCCAGGAGTAGAAAGAACCAGTGCAAGGGCCCGAGGTAGAAGAGTCCTTGCTATGCTTAAGAGCAGCACTGTGCTCAGGCTACGCAGTGTAACTGTGAATTTGGCATGACCTGGTATCTCATGGTTACCTGACTGGACCCATAGGCCTACAAGCTGAAGAGCTGTAGAACTTTGAATTCCTTTGCTGTCTTCTGGGTTTTTGAAACACTTTCAGGAAGTCCCACAGATCTCTGAGAAGTCACTTTTTGTGTTCATCATTATAATGTGGAACTTAGTTGTAGAGCCCTGAGAACAGGTTTCACAGCATGGGCCTCAGGTAGTCAGTTCTGTCTCATGCTGGAGATAAATACACTCTGTGAGTCCGGCAAGGAAGGAAGCAACAGGTAATTATGGAGTTCCTGCTCTGGAATGGGGACAGTTACTTAGCTTCTAAGTGCCTCAGTTTCCTCCACTGTAAAAGACAGACAATAATACCAGCCCAGAGAGACAATAAAGGCAGAAAGGTGCCTGGCACACGTAGGTCTTTGATAAGCATGTTTTCTTACCAGCACGTAGACCCTTCTTGTCTTAGTTCATTTTGTGTTGCTGTAACAGAATACCTGAGACTGGGTAATGTATAAAGAACAGAGATTTATTTCTTACAGTTGTGGAGTCTGGCAAATCCAAGGTCGTCAGACCCACGGAAGGGCAAAAAAGCACACACACACAGATGAGAGGAAGAGGGTCAAACTCATCCTTTTGTTGGGAATCCACTCCTGTGATAACTAACCCACTCCTGGGATAACAGCATTAATCCATTTATGAGGCAGAGCACTCATGACCCTATCACCTCTTAAAGGTCCACCTCTCAACGCTGTTGCCTTGGGGATTTAGTTTCTAACTCATGAACTTTGGGGAGCACGTTCAAATGATAGTGCTTCTCATTTGAAAGACTTTCTCGCTAATCACAATGTGGAAATAGGATGTTATTTATCTATTTCCCTTTTTTGAACCCCAAATGGATGAAAAGGAAATAGGTTTTTAAAAGAATATATGAGGAAAAATGCTTAAAAGCTTGAATCGCTTCTGAGAACTTGAGCTCCCTCAAACCATAAAATTAACAGGAAAATATCTTTATCTGCTTTAATAAGTCTATAAGCAGGAACCTCAGAGGTGTTCTTGACCATGCTTGAGTTTGTGCCCACCTAACCTGCATTTTGTGTTATGTGAATGTTTAAAACCATAGTTTGGAAAAGAAGTCCCGCCCTAGCACACACTGATACACCTGAGTTACTTTACCTGCTCAACACAGGTGCAATAGAAACCAATCAATCCTGTAAATTAAACTCCTGGAAGCCATATAATCCATAACTCAGAACAGAATTTAAAGTGAGAAGCAGCTGAATTAGTTGGATCTAATGGTTAAGAGCCCTAATTCTAGAATCAGACCTTAGTGCAAGCTGAATGACTCTGGGCTTGACCTCTCTTAGCCTCTATTTCCTGATGCATAAAATGGGGATGATTAGGATGCCTCCTTCAGTGGTTCCGAGGTTAATGAGATAATGCATGTAAGCATTTAATATAATGCTTGGCACTGTAGTAAGAGCTTATTAAAAGTTCATAAGAGTAACCTGAGCATGCTGGGTTCTCCAACATTCAGGCAAGTGCCATATGAGCTGGGGGGGGCGTCAAGGAAGGCCTCTCCAGATGAGTTCTGAGCCAAGCTCTGCATGATGAAAGGGGCAGGCAAGCTCTGTGAAGCTCTGATCAGTGACTAGTAGTAGAGGCAGAAGAAACAGTGAGTGTGAAGGTCCCAGCACGCCACAGAGGTGCTTAGAGGACCAGCAGTGTGGCTGGAGTGCAGTGAGGGAAAGGGACTGGAGGAGACCAGATCAGAGAGGTGGGCAGGGTCTGGGCCAGGAGGGAACATGCAAACCAGAATGCAAAGTCTAGATTTCATTCAAAATATGATGGGAAATGAGAAGGTACAATAATTTCAAAAGAATCCCCTGGCTACTGTGTAGAAAACAGTTTGTAGTGGGTAAGATGAAAGGCAGGGAAATAAGATGCAGTGATTCAGAGGAGGGAGGGTGGGGTTAGGAGCAGGATGGCAAAAGTGGAGGGGGAGATAAATGAATGACTGAGATGAAGATAATAAGGCTGCTTAGTGGACTGATGTGAAGTGTGAGAGAAAGAGAATCAAGGATGGTGCTTGGGGTTCTGATTTCACAGAGTGAACGATGATGCTATTAAAGGGAACGGGGGCCAGGCATGATGGCTCACGCCTGTAATCCCAGCACTTTGGGAGGCCAAGGTGGGCAGATCATTTGAGGTCAGGAGTTCAAGACCAGCCTGGCCAACATGGTGAAACCCCATCTCTACTAAAAAATAAAAAAATTAAAAAAAAAAATACAAAAATTACCCAGGTGTGGTGGTGGGCACCTGTAATCCCAGCTACTTGGGAGGCTGAGGCAGGAGAATCACTTGAACCTGGGAGGCAGGGGCTGCAGTGAGCTGAGATCATGCCACTGCACTCTAGCCTGGGTGACAGAGCAAGACTCCATCTCAAAAACTAACAAAAACAAACAAACAAACAAACAAACAAAAATGGGGAGAAACAAAGGAAGGATAAGGGGACACATTGAGCTTGAAATGCTTTTTATATCCAGGTAGAAATGTCCAGGGCAATTGAATATTTGGGTCTGGAGCTCAAAGAGGAGACAGGAGTGGTGATATAAATGTGCAACTTATCAGCTTTAATATTTATATCCACAGAACTGGATGGAAGGAGCTAGAGAGAGATTATGGACAGAGGAGAGGGCTGAAAGCTGGGCCCAGGGCTCTGACATTTAGAAGAAAGAAGATAAGGGATACCCAGCCAAGAAGAGTGAGGAGGGGCAGCCAATGGGGTGACTGAAAAATAAGAGAGTGTGGTGGCCTGGGATCCCAGTACTGAAAATGTATTCAGAAGGAAAGTGTGACCAACTGCAGAGAAGCCAGATATGATGAGGACAGCGAGGTGGCCTCTGGATCCAGCAAGATGGTCTATAGCAGATGTACTGATAGCAATAACTTCAATTACACATACCTGAAAATAACCTAGAGTCCAAGAAGATGTGTGTTCAGAGTTATGAGCTGAGGAATGTGGGAGTGGCCAACCAGAAATTCACTTATTATTCATGAAGGACATCTAAACCTCTGGCCTACCTTTTGGAATGAGGGAAGGAGGCCTTTTGGGGTTAAATGAAGTTCCAGGTGGAGGTTACTAAGTGAAAATGCTATGCAAACTGCATGTTTTTTACAAACAGGGATGGTGCTCCTGTCCAACCCACTGCCACTGGACCGTCCTTGGATGTAAATCCACCCAACAAACCCTTTGTCTCATTTGCTGTCTCCAGGCCTCTTCTTCGGCCTCTCTGACATGGTGCCAGCCCTACTGGAGTCAGCAGGGGTCCAGAACCACAGATCGTGGTCAATGGTGGTCAGTGGTGACTGACACAGGCAGTTCCTGAGGAATGGTTGTTGGCCATGGAGTCCTGACTGGAGTGGGTTAAAAAGAGGAAGGAAAGTCAGAAGAAAGGGAGACTGGAGGTGAGGAAGCAGATATAGGGAGTCTAAATATATTTATTTCTGGAGCTGTCATAACTAAGTACTGCAGATTGGGTGGCTTAAAGAACAGAAAGGTATTTTCTTGATAGTTCTGGGGGCTGGAAGTCCAAGATCAAGGTGTTGGCAGGCTGGTTTCTGCTGAGGCCTCTCTCCTTGGCTTGTGGAGGGTCGTCTTCTCCCTGTGTGCTCACATCCTCTGCCTGTGTTGTCTGTATCCTAATCTCTTTTTCCCGTAAGGACACCAGTCATACTGGATTAGGGATCACCCTAATGACCTCTTGATTACCTCTTTCAAAGCCCTGTCTTCATACATAGTCACATTCTTTTTTTTTTTTTTTTTTTTTATAAGATGGAGTCTTGCTCTGTCACCCAGGCTAGAGTGCAGTGGCATAATCTCGGCTCACTGCAACCTCCACCTCCTGGGTTCGAGCAATTCTTCTACTCAGTCTCCCAAGTAGCTGAGATTACAGGTGCATATCAGCACATCCAGCTAATTTTTGTATTTTTAGTA